TCCAAGATAGGTGACTTATCCATCCAAGGCAATACCAAACTGAGTAATATGTTGGATGAGGTGTCTAAGTCCATAACTATATTTGGTATGTACTTGACCCGATTTAGCATGGTCCATTTGGGTTGCACTTCACCGGAACAATTTGGACTTTTGAGAAGAGGATATGTATCATTTATTAATATATTATAAGTTATAATATATTAATGTGAAATCATATTATTTAATTAGTATTGATCAAAAATTAATTTGGAATTAATTTTGTGGTCAAAAGAGACTAATTAAATATATAGGGATTGATTGTGTAAATCATTCATTCTTATAATGTGGGCTAATGATCCATGATTCCTTATGTTGGGCTTAACCCATGTGGTGACCCATGGATACTCCATGGAGGTTAAAACCCATGGATCATGAGGAATGTGGAAAGTCATGCACATTAGGGTTTACATGGTGTAACCCTAATGTAACCACACTATATAAGAAGCCCTTTGGTTCAAGAAATTGACACCTAGAGTCTTTGCAAGAGTGTGGCCGATTTTTGTGAGCTAGAGAGTCCTCTTCCAAGGTTCTAAGTGTTAATGGTGATTTGTGATTCCACTTGAGGCATTCACATTATTGGTGCTAGGCTCTTAAAGCTCCAAGCAACAAGCTACAACAAAATGTATGTTATCTAACTTGTTTTATTACCCAAGTATCAAAGTTTTGTATTCTAGTTTGGGTAATATCTTGGAAAATGAAAGTTTGCATGTATTAGAGAAAACATAGATCAAAGGTATTTAGGGTTGCATGTACACCTTAGGCGTGTTAGAATGCTCAAAACCCACCAGTGGTATCAGAGCCTAGGCTTGTTTTCAATTATACTTGATGCTACATGCTTAGAAGTGCTTTAAAAATCAAAAATCTGTTGTCAGGGTAGTGGACTCGCCGAGTCCACTGGGGGACTCACCGAGTCCCTTCACAAAACAGGCCAACTCGTCGAGTTTGTTCATACACTCGACGAGTTGGAGCCCCTGAGTGCAGATTTTCGACTTTTGAGGCTGGAATTGGACTAGGATCATTACCATAAACTATTTTGGAACTTCTAAACCTGTTTTTGATGTGGTAATGATCATGCTTATCCAATTCAAAAGATAATTGTCAAAATTTCATGTTTTGTATTAGTTTATATGATTAGTCTAATTACATGGAATTTGTTTGGTTTGAATTATTTTGTTCATATGAGTTTAATCAAGAACTTGAACATGCTTGTTAGTTTAATTGACGATCTTGATAGTTTTAATGGACTGCATAACTTGTCCTTAAGTTATGGAATTCCAAATGTTTTTCATTTAAATGAATCATTAAAAGTCATAGGTTATAGAAAAATGAAGAGTCTCATTTTAAAAGACCATTAAACTCATATGTTATGAAGTTGAAAAGTTTTGAAAAGTTTCAAAACTTGCCCTCAAGTTTTGGAATTTGTAAAGTCACACATTAAAACTTTAATTCCAAACCCTAGAACTTTAAAAGTTTAAAATTCAACCCTTATACTATTATAATATTATAAGTTTAATATTATATATATATATATATATATATATATATATATATTATATATATCTATATATATATATATATATATATATATATATAAGAACAAGTTAGTCTTACCGTTAGTAGACCTCATTCACGAAGCCAGTCTATAAGGGGGGTATAAGGTTACTGCCTATAAAATGGTGGTTTAATGGGTGTCCACTCTCACCCACCGTTTCCTTGACTGGTGGAGGGTCGTTAGCCGAACGGGTAGGACAAAGACAATAATTCTCATTAAAAGTATAATGATAGATATAAAGTAACTAAATGTTTTATAAATTCCCAATCTTAGTTACTTTAGGAAAATGTGAAATTGATGCTAACCCATGAAATTACTCTTTGCACCTTACCAAGTCGTTAGTGGAGCGTGTGTGGTTAACCGGAACACTAACATGGACTAGTAAGGGTGGCAAAGGGTAGCTTAATGTTTGTCATAGATCGATGGAGCATGTGTGGTTAACCGACACATCGATTAGGTGATAAATGACATTAAGTGTACCAAGTATATTTGCATGGTTATTCACACCTTGTTTGTGATCCTCAGTATCCCAGTCACAAACTTGAAGGGCATAATCGAGATTTAAACATGTCATTGAAAAGTTCAATGAATCTCAAAAGAATCTAGGAATTTCAATTCATCTAAAACCTAATAATCAATTTCGTTTTTCATGATGGAAATTGGTAAATCGTCATTTACCTATCTTCAAATATTTTGCAACTTGGATTACAGCATATCCCTCTTCCAAATTTTAAAATATTATGTTGGGTCCTAACCTTAATATTTCATTTTGGGTGTTATATTAAGGACTTTATATCTAATCTAAAATTTTTCTTTCTTCTTTTTTCAGATGTCTTCCAACAATGCTTCTGGCTCAAACCCTACCGGCTCCTTCTTTCTCATAAACCTTTGTGGGAGAGTCATATTTGATGGGACTAATTTCAATGATTGGATTAGGAACATCCAAATGGTCACTCGCTACGAGGACAAGGAATATGTCCTCGACAAGGAGCTTAAGGAAATCGATGAGTCTGCTGCTACTCCTCAGGAGATTGCTGATTTAAGGAAATCCAAATGTATCATGCTTGCCACCATGTATCCTGAACTCCAAAAGTCCTATGAGGACTTCTACCCTTTTGAGATGCACCAGGACCTGATGGAAAGATATCATCAGAGTGCTCGTCAAGAGCGGTATGAAATCATCTGCTCCATGATTACAGCAAAGATGAAGGATGGTGAACCCATCACGTGCCACTTGCAGAAAATGCAAAGGTTTATGGACCGTCTGCTTAAATTGAATGTGAACTTTGATGAGGAGCTGGATATATATATTATTCTACACTCCTTACCTCCATGTTATGATCAGTTCCGCATGACTTATCATATGAACAAAGAGGAAGTCACCTTGAGCAAGCTTCAGGGCCTTTTGAGGACTGCCGAACGTGGTCTCAAAGGTAAATTTGTTGTAACCACTCCTACTGCTACTGCCCCAGTCCTGGCAATCGGGCAAGGCAAGGGAAAGAAGAGGAAGACCCCTTCCAAGGGTCACAAGGGAAAGTCTCTTGATGGGTCCTCTTCTAGCAAGACTAAAATCGGTCCTGCTACTTCCTCCTCTAACCCAAAAGAAGCAGAGTGCTTCTATTGTCATGATAAGGGGCACTGGAAGCGAAGTTGCCCAAAGTACTTGCAGGATGTTAAGGATGGGAAAGTAAAACCCACCCATGTAGGTATTTACACTATATTGTATAATAACTCACTGCATACTAATTCTTGGGTCCTTGATACAGGTTGTGGTATTCACATTTGTTCTGATTTGCAGGGACTAAAAAGAAGTCAGGATGTGGAGCAAGGGAAGATAAATTTAATCATGGGGAATAGGAAAGCTTCACCTATCACCAAAATTGGAGTTTATTCTTTATTTCTTTGTAGTGGGTTAAAATTAGATTTGAATAAATGCTGTTTCTCGTCTGAAATGGAGAGAAATATTATTTATTTTCATGGTTTGTACAAACAAGGTTTCACATTTTCGTTTGATAATGAAATTAGTGCAATAAATGCTTATTATAATGGTGTGTTTTATTTTAGAGCATTACCTTGTAATGGTGTATATGAAACTATGATGGTTGTAGACAACTTAGGAAATAATGTATTGCACATTGATTCTTCCACTAGTTTGGATAAAGCATCCTTGTGGCATTGTCGTCTTGGACATGTAAACAAGAAGAGCATAGGCCAACTCCAAAAGGCTGGAGTCTTGGAATCATTTGACTTAAAGTCAGATGATAGTTGTGAATCTTGTTTGATTGGAAAGATGACTAAATCACCCTTCACTGGTTCTTGTGAGAGGGGTGAAGGTTTGTTGGACCTCATACACACAGATGTGTGTGGACCCTTCAGAACTGCCACAAGGGATGCTAACCGCTTTTATGTGACTTTTACTGATGATTATAGTAGATATGGCTATGTCTACTTAATTAAGCATAAGTCAGAAACCTTTGAAAGATTCAAAGATTTTAAGCAAGAAGTGGAGAATTTGCTGGGTAGGAAGATAAAGATGCTCCAATCCCCCGACACAAGACCTAGAAGTAGAATGACATCAGCTATCGAACCCCCGATACCTACCTAAACGATGTAGATGTCTCCAAGACATCAAACAAAATATGTATGCAATGAAAATTTGGAACGAACAAGTATCAATATACTTTCGTACAAACGGCGAACAAAAACGGACTGATCATCTGTGCCGCATAACAATAAAATCACTGAGGAAAACACAACTGTAACCCCCAAGGGATCATAATTTCCCCTAACAAACATGTCAACAAGGTCAGTAGAGCCGCAACTACTGATCATGACAAACAAGAGGCTTTAAAGGATTATAACCTTTCCCTAGAAAAACATAAACTCCCATACTTCAAGGTGACGATCTCGGTCTGGTTTAGATGACAAGGGCCAGAGTGCAACTCTCCTTGGCCCAGGGCATAGGAAAAGGCCCCAAAAGAAAGTCCTTTAGCTAAAAAAAAGGACGTTCCAACGAAGAAAACCAGCTAGGGCCCGCACCTAAAAGCCAACCAAAGCCTCACACTACGAGGTCCGGCCAAAGGACAAACAACAGGCTTAGATGCTTTGGGTCACCAAAAATCGTCAAAACAAATAACAACCACCCTCAAAAGGGTGACACTAACCTTGGGAAGAATTCAAGCAAAAGATGGCCAACATAAACCATCAAACACAAGGACAACACAAAACAATAGTGTAACAGACCAAAAGAAGGGGAATTTAACATACACAGAATAAATTATCTACCCGCACAACCCCCCTGGATTTGCACAAAGACCATGCAGGGCCAAAGAAAAGCAGCGGAACATTGTTTAAGTACCAAACAAATATAAACATTGTCTTGAAATATTCAAAGAATAAATAAATGCCATCACTTACTAGGGGAAGCACCAACATGAGAAAAGCCACCTTTGACCTGACTATCCTCAACGTCAGAGTCATCACACAACTGGTGAAGGCATGCCATGTCGAGCTCGCCCAGGTAGAGGTAGGAGGCAAAGTCTATCTCCATGAACACTTTTACAGTAGCGTGCATCGCCTGAGTATTCTCTATGGTAGCAAAAACCTCCCCATGGACAAACTTCCCAGTAACAACCTGTTCCCGGACCTCCTGCTTTCCATTATCCACACCAGCGGCCATGCACGCCATCTTCATCCGCTTCACCTCTATCGCAAACTTAGAACTTTCAACCACCTTGTCCACCACACGGACAACTCCTTTCTGAATTAGCCACCCCAGATCATCCTCCACGCTCTTCCGCCTCGCCACCTCTTCCTCCAACCATCTGTTAGCGCGATCCACCTGGTCCTCAAACACCTTCTTCTCTTCTACCAACACCTCGATACAATGGGAGAAACACTCCACTGACCCGTCCAATGCAACGGCCTTGTCCTCCAGAGATGCCTTTTCCCCTACCAGGAGATCATAGTGCTCCTCGAATGAATGCTTCTCCTCTTCTCACGCCAGCAGCTTGGCTCTCAAATCATCTCGCTCAGCCCTGATCTGAACGAGCTCGCCAGAATTGGAATCGCCCTGACGAAGGAAAGATGCAGTCGCAACCATATATTAACCAACCTGGGCAGCCGTATATAAGAGACTGTTAGAAAGATGAGCATTCGAGAACAGCTCCAAGGCCTTGATGGCGGCGGGGAAAAGCTTGACAACCCCACTCGTATTCCACCGTGTGCTGGGAAAGGAGAGACTCCCGAGTTATCCCCCACCCGAGCACGTACACCGTTGGCGCTGCCGGAGGAACAGGAATAGAGCCCTCAGCAGGGTCCCCTCCAGGCAAAAGAAGAACTGGTGAGCTGGGAGCACCTTCATGACCGGCTTTCTGGTCCACACCAAAAGCGCTTTCGGCAGCAGTATCCACCGGTTCTTCCTTGGGTTCACGGGGCAGTTATGTCGCCCCTTCTTTCATCCCCTCCGACTGTTTTGGAGTGTCATCATCGGGGATATCCATAACTATCGTGTCTTCCTACAAAAGGAAGTCCATGTTCTGCCTCTTTAGAAAGCGTTGTCCCGAGGAGCCGACCTTGGTAGGCTTCACCTGTGGCGAATCCAGCCAGGAAAGACGCCGCTTATAGGACGCGCGGGTCCTGCACTGGACTAGCCCAGTTGATGGCTCCCCCCCCTCAGTATCAAAATGTAGCGGGTCCTCACGGGAAATACTACCTACAGGCGCGTTGATCAGCACCTGGCCAGCGTGAGAGTCGGACCCAGGAGAAGAGGCAAAAGGAGGACCGGCGAGAGCCAAAGCACTGTCAAGACTGACCGGTGGAGGAAACGTCTCGTCAAGGGAACCTCTCGGTACTGAAGGGTGCCATGAAAACGTCCCCTCAATACCATCTCTAAGGGAAGAATCCTCTCATGACCTGCAAGCAAGGAAAAGTCCAAACACAATTCACACAACACATAAGCGAGAGTGTATCAAGGGGGAGGAAGGAGAAGTGATTACCATCTTTCTCGACGTAGAACTGGGGCATCATCCCTAGGGTCCTCCAGGCAGTACTCATCCCAACCGCAGCAAGTATGTGGTCCTCCCAATCCTCGCCGTTAATATAGATGGTCTTTAATGCTTGTGCCATGTTGACACTGGCACCCCATAATTCAGGAGCCCAATCAGAGATAGTGGTCAAGCGGGGATAACCGAAACCGACAAAATTATGGTTCACCCAAAGCCACCGATCCTACCAATTCTTCTTCGGAGCTTTCTTTTTGATGATGAAAGCATGACACCCCTCCTCTGGGAAAAAGTCCGGGCACCGGACTAAGTGGAGGAATTAAAGAAAGCCTTGAATGCCCAGAACTGTGGCAAAACTCCGAGGGCCCGACAAGCAAGTTCAAAGCCGACGATCTTGTTGACGGCGTTCAGAGTCAGGCCATCCACACGGAGTCTATATTGACGCATAATCTTGTCAAAGAAATCTGTTGTCGGCAGCCTTAGCTCCACCTCGAAGATCGAAATGGAATTCTGATCTTCCCCACCGGTGGATGAGAAATGATGGCCCCCTTTAGAGGGTATTCTACGCCATGCTCGAGAAGAAACCCAAACCGCTCTTGTGGACTCGAAAACTCACTCGGGGAAGGAACGATTCCGGTGTTAGAAGAAGCCATTGCTCGACATGAAAGAAAGAGTAGAAAGAAATGAAAAGAGGAAGTGGTAGACGTGAGAAAAACTAGGAAAAAGGGAACCGACTCAAATAATAAAGTTTTAAATGCAAGCGGGAAGCCCAAGTGGTTATGATGATTGAATCTGTATGCACAGACGCCTCCGTCACATCAACTGCAACCAGAAAACCATCCCTGCCGAACGCGTGTCCAGATCTAAGCTAGAACTACTTAGCTACCCTAAACAAACGCTAACGTCTACTAGCCTAGGGTACTTGTTGACGTATCCCATCAGGAATCCATCAAAGATAACAGAACTGCTAGTTCAATAGACATATCGGCCAAGGAACAACGCTTGACTAACGCCAGGCCTTCGCCCTCGCCTTCGAGACCCTGTATCCGTTTCTTGGTGTCCAAGCGCCAAGGCTAACGTTGAAGACAAAACAATACCATAAGTTCCCCAGAGCGACTGATGTAGTGCTCTGGACGCCGTTTCTGGCAGAATCTGCACCAATAGCGAACAACCACCCATGGAACACGATCCTCCAATGAAAAGCCATCAGCCCCTGCCAAACCTGAAAAAGTAGAAGATACTGTCAGGGATCTGTTCCCCCTTACCACATGTATAAAAGGCTCCCTTCTCCCCCAAGAGAAGGGGCCAAGAAAAAACCCTTTAACACTCTCTTTACACTTACAACCCATTCTCTCTCAGACTTTCATTAACTTGATCGTCGAAGCCTCGTTCTGGGATAACCTCCCAGACAAAGACTGACGGTCTTATCTTTTTTGTTGTGATCCATAGGCTTTTCATTTCCACCCTCGGAAAGATGGAGTTAAGCCGGTGACATATCACAACAACTGCCTGCTGCACTCTCCTTTTTTGCAACTCCCAAACAACCTATTTTTTAATCTATCTCTCTCTCTCTCTCTCTCTCTCCATAATATTAAGTAAAATATTATATATTGGAGCATTCGTGATTTCTTATTTAACTTTTTACCGGTTTCGAAGTTAATTTCTTTATATGGATGTAAACTTTGTTTATTCTGTTTACATTTTTTATTTTGAATTGGTCAATTTGAATTCAACTCATTTGATTAGTAGGTTGCGTCAGAAACTTAACAAACAGGCCAATCAAATAACAACTCATTGTTGTGTTCATCAAAAAGGTCAATCCAATGATATCACATTGCTCTATTCATTAAACTGACTATCCATTTTAATATTGAAATTGTTAATTTGGTATAGGGTAAATAGCACAAAAGACACTAAGTTTACACCAAAATTCTAATTTGACACTGTGTTACTTTTTGTCTCAAATTATACATTGTGTTTTCTATTTTTTTTACAATTCTGACCACTTGACGGTGAACCTGGTTACCTGCTGACGTGTGAAAATTGATTTTTTTTCCCTCCAAAAGACACTAAGTTTCATTTTTTTCGATTTTAACACTACGTTTTTTGTTCCAAATCGAACATCATTTTTCTCAGTTTTGTTCAATGTTAAGCTTTTTTCCATTTAAAACCGTATAAATATGTTTTTTTTATTATATTTTAAACCGTATAAATATATTTTTTTCCATTTAAAAACCATATTTCTATATAAATAAAAAAGTTTTTTTTACTACATTCAAAGCATAATGTTATGCATAAATATGCATTAGTTATATCATAAGAACCAAACTAACGATAAACTTCGAATAAGATCAACAAAATTTTATCATTATGGTTTATGAAATCTTATTTATTTTATTTTTTGTTGTAGATATTACAACTATTTTTATTTACAGTTAAATAATTTTATTAGGTGTATATTGATGTCGCATCTAACGTCTGTTTGAAGTGTTGAAGAAGAGGTAGGAAATATAGAACAAAATACCAAAATTTAATGAGAATACTAAAATAGATATAATAATGACGATATTTATCATTCATAAATATTTTTGAAAAAATAAGCTAAATATATGATTTAATCAGAGTCACACCGTGAGATACAAACCTAACATCTGGGCTTTGATCGACTACACGCCTTCAAACCTCCAAACTCATTTTACAGTTGCGAATTTAATATAAAATATGTTTATGATATAACTAATGCATATTTATGCATAGCATTATGCTTTGAATGTAAAAAAAACCTTGTATTTACATAAAAATGTGGTTTTTAAATGAAAATAATAAATTTATACGGTTTAAAATGTATCAGAAAGTATATTTATACGGTTTCAAATGGAAAATGGTCAATATTTAACAAATTTGGAAAAAAATGATGTTCAATTTGGAACAAAAAAACAAAGTGTCAAAATTGAAAAAAAAATAAACTTAGTGTCAAAATCGAAAAAAATGAAAACTTAGTGTCGTTTGTGGGAAAAATTTTTAATTTTGACACGTCAGCATGTCATGTCATCAAAACTGACACGTCATCATGTCATGTCAGTAGGTAACTGGGTTGACCGGTCAAGTGGTTAGAATTGTAAAAAATTAGAAAACACAGTGTCAAATTTAAGAAAAAAAAACACAGCGTCAAATTAATTTTTTTGTATAAACTTAGTTACTTTTGTGCTATTTACCCATTGCGAAAATACTTCTCGAAAGTTTAAAATGCAATCAAACTCCAAAGTATACGACAATTTACCAAAAAACATAAGTAATTAATTATCTTTATAAGTCATAAAGTCTAAAGTTTTCTAAATGTCCAAGCTCTAAACACAAGGGTTGCGCTTGTTGCGGGACTTAACCCAACACCTTACAGTACGAGTTGATGACAGCCATGCACCACCTGTGTCCGCATTCCCAATCTCTCTATAAATCCTAATCTAAACACATGTCAAAATATGCAGGCTAGAAAGTTAGTAAGTATTATCAAGGTTAAACATTGTTGAGTGTAAGGAACTGCACATTCTTTATTGTTCCAAAAAAAGGAAACACAAAAAAAACATGCATGTTCAAAACTCAAAGTAGACCACAAAATCATTTCACAATAAACATAGCTAAAAATATTTTAGAATCAACAAATTCAAATCATAATATAAAAAGGATGCAGTAC